GGGGTATTTTGCTGGTGGTTGCATGGAAAAAATAGAGGTAAAAGAGGAAACAATTGTTGTTGTTGTTGTTTGTTGTGTTTGTGGGAACGGGGCAAAAGTGTTATTGTTGTAATTGTTGCTGATTTTTCCTATGTCGTTGTTGTTGTTGCTGCTGCTGTCGTGCGCGCGCGCATGTGTGTGTGTGAGAGTGTGAGTGTGAGTGTGAGTGTGTGTGTGTGTGTGTGTGTGTGTGTGTGTGTGTGTGTGTGTGATGGGTTAATGCATGTGCCCATTGGCCCAATTTAGATCATATTGGGCTTAGGATTTCAACTCACAACCCGGACTGACAGGGATACGTTGCCCCAGCAGAAAGACCGAGATATTCAATTAAAACTGTCCCTGTCGAAAAATTCCTGAAATTATGCAAACTGATCTAAAAAATGTGAAATTATGCGATTGTGTTAATTTTAACAAAGAATAATATAGGAAAATTATCCGAAATTATGCAAAAAAATGATCAAATTTTGCTAAATTATGCGGGGTGCATAAAATCACGGGGACAGTTAAAATTCACCCCACATGGGAAACGAACTCAGGTCTTCTATATGCAACGGCGAAGCACGCAATCCCTGCACCACAGACGTCTTAGTTGTTATGATTCCATGTATATATCTATTCGGAGAAAACGTTTCATTGGAAGAGTTATGTTTCATTTATTTATTGTTAGTTAATTTGTTTGTTTGTCTGTTTTTTTGTTTGTTTGTGTGTGTGTGTGTTAAAGTAGTAAAGAGAGCCACATCGATACCATAAAGGTAATCCGTTATATTATCTTGTTGGGAAAAGCAAGACAGATCAACAGAAACAACTGAGGTATAGAAAACAAGTAAAGCCTACAATTCGTGGCGCCCTATGGTGAGCTTCTTTCGGGTGAAGTACCGTCTCTAAAAAATAACACTGCAGTGTTTACAGAAACCTAAGAAAATCAAAACGTATCACAACTAAAACTTATAATATGTAACTGTAGATGTTTTGCGCCACCAAAGAAACAGCAATATTAATAATGATATTATTTAAGAGGCAGGCTGGTTCGGCCTTCCTTCCACTGTCGGAGGAAAACCAAGGCCCACAAGAATACAACTCATCTCTACAGACAAACTTCCCACTTGGGGAAAAAGCAAAAGCTCACGTCTTCTGCCTGCGAATGTGAAGTGCCTTAACTCTACAGCACACACAGACATCGGTAGCTTTTAAAACCCGATCCGTGCGCCCTGGGGTCATTTTGTACTCTCGGGGTTGTATTCTTCACATTTTTAGAATACTTCTAGTACGAAGATCTCTTTGAAACTTTCAGCTTTTCTCAAAAAATTGTTTTGACAGACTGCTATGCAAAGCGTACGGATCGGATTAACGAGTAATATCCTCTTTTGAAAGTGGTGGCACAGAGTTCCAAACGTCGTGTGGATACGATAGTAAATCACGACGTACAGATAGGGTTAAATATATATTTTTGGGGTCAATTGTATGTGTCTTACGCCTCAATCAGCACACAAATTAGATCATTCAGGGGACAGGCATCCGACCCTGCCTGTCAGGGCCAACCCAAGTTGAGAGGGGTACAACATGCCAGCGGAAATAAAATGCAACATTCTAGAACAAAGACTGAAACGCTCAGTAAGCGTGTTTTCACCCATTCGATAATCGAACTCCGATCTCCTTCGTGCGATAGCAAAAAGCGCTGTACCCAACGCCTACTCTAAGCGTTTTGTTTGGCCATACCGCTATACCAGAAACGCAAGTGCCGGTTGCTAAAGATCAACTTTTGTGAAGACATAAGCCTATGACTGTAGAAAAAGTCATTGTTGAATTCACTCAAGATTGATAAAACTTGTTAAGGCAGAGTCTGGCTTTTAAGTGTAAGTAAGTAATTAACTAAGTACATGTATATGTTTATTCCTTTCCCTCACAAATAAGGTGCAGAAAAAAGATAGCGTGCTCCAGGCAAAAAGCTGAAAGCGTATTACTATTACAGAATTAAAGAAGAGTACCTACGAGGTTGCAAGATTTACACTTTTTAAAATAAAATACTAATAAACGTTATCTGATGTAGTTTTAGAACGATATCTCCTTTTTTTTAAAAATCGTAATTCTTTGTAGTAACGTCTTCCTCAAAGAGAGCTGCAAAAGAAACATGCAAAAACAGTTCTAGAACCGCAGCACTGACATGATACGTAATGTATTCATTTGAAACATTGAATGCCGGGAAAAAGAAACACAAAAAGAAACAAACAAGCAAGAGCGTAGTACTTGGTTTTTCAAGTTTTGTGTTTATTTTGATTTTTAGAAATTAGATAGGGTGTTGAACCAAAAATGAATACACACGCGCGCGCTCGCGCACAC